TGTAGTAGTTGAACCGGTGGTTTTTACTGTTGTGGTAGATGACGCTGCAGCACTGGTAGAATCCTCTGTAGAAATCTCTGTGGTTTTAACTGTATTTGCTAAATCTTCCGTTGAAGGAAGATTTGATGTAGTTGAAACAGTGGTTCTTACTGTTGTGGTAGATGACGCTGCAGCACTGGAAGAATCCTCTGTAAAAATCTCTGTGGTTTTAACTGTAATTGCTAAATCTTCCGTTGAAGGAAAATTTGATGTAGTTGAACCAGTGGTGGTGGCTTCTGAGGTTGATGAGGTTTCAGCTGTTATCCACCTCGCAGTACCCTGTAATGTACTTGTAAAAGTTCCTTCAGTTGAACTACTTTTTGTGCTTTTAGTATCGGTTGGTAAAATCGTTGTTTCCTCCACAATAGAAGTAGTAACTGAGTCAACAGTGCTGTCTGTACTTACTAGAACTGTTGTAGAGTCAAATGTAGAGCTAGTCATTATCAAATTGCAAGAGAAATTGCCAAAATCACCCCATGATGTGTTTCTGCAGGTGATTTCATTGCTTCTTCCCTCTATTTCATAACCGGGAAAGCAGGAAAATGTAGCGATGGACCCTTCTATCGTGCTTGAAGCATTCCAAACTCCTCCCTCTACGCTTGGTAAATCATCACAATTCTTTACTGAAAGGGAGAGAAAGAAAAAAAATATTATACTTTATTTGTATTCGCATTACTTATGTAGAGTATAAGCGAAAACAGTATTATAATAGTATATTTGTATTGGCATTAGTTATCTAGAATTTTCATTGCAATAATTTTGATCTTGTTTTATTTTTTTTAAAGAGAAACACAAAATATAACAATCATTTTAAACAATGTAAAATTAATGTATTTACTTACCATTTTGATTCATTTGTTAAAAATATTATTTAAGATCACATCTAATATATTTACTTTGGTATGAAGCTCCTACAGAAGTATTAAAAATCATTGTGAACTGTTGGGTTTCGGCAGCCAGTTCAGCCGATCCAGTCATGGCATAATCGAATATGCATTCTTCATCCTCTCCACAAAGCTCCTCAACTTCCGGGGGGAGATTTGTTGGTGTTACAAACGTGGGACGGAAGGATAACTTTTGATAGTCACTGTAGGACTTTCCCGGTTCGTAAGTGAACAGTGAATCATTTTCTAGTATTCTCCCTTCAATTATATATTTTATTACTTTTAAATTAAATTAAATAAAAGAGAGACAGAGAGAGACTTAATTCATAATAGATTGTAAAAATATTACATAATATTCCAAAATCATCGTAGATCTTTTCTGCTGTGGAGTTTGGCTGTAAAATCTCCCCAGTTGGAGATTTTAAATCGTTGTTTGGATCTTCATCAAAATTTCCAAGTATTCCCTGTATGTTTCCTGTAAGCAAGAAAAGTTATTTGGTTAGTCACTTTATTCACAGACATCGTTTCGTATCATTTGCGAAGGTGAGACAGAAAAATAGACCAAAATTAAGTTATTGACTGATTACTCTTCCCCACCCACCTAAATACTCCAACGGAAATATACTAACCGGCAAGTGAAGTATTTCCAACAACTGGAAGGACATTGAGCACATTGGAACTCGCTACAGCTTTGAATGCGATACCCATTGTGGTAAAAGATACAATTAACTCCTTTTTGGTCAGGTTCGAGTTTGTCGAATTTGTTTCAAGCGTCATAACAGTCACACCTTAAAAAGTAACAATGTTAAAGTTGTACCTGGTAAGTATAATTGAAAAATTAAGAAAAAGAATTGGAGTTTCAGGACAAAGTTTTAAATAATTTTATTGTAACCTTGAAATTGATGGGCATTTGACTCGTCAAAGTCAATAACATCTCCATTGACTAAAACGTCTACAATTCTAATCGAGTTGAGGCGGACTTCTACGACGACAGAATTATTCGAGTCTTGTGAAACAAAGGAAGTGCATATACTTGCATCAACCAAATCTCCTGTGTGAACAAAGAGTATTAAAGAAAATATAGTCCAATATGTTGTTGACCAGCATGAACGTACGGAATATTTTTGTGCTTACATATATTCATAACTTACCATTTTCTTTTCGAAATTGCTCAAATCGTATCTGGCTTTGAAATCTCTCGTCTAAGGTTTTCATAAAGACAAATTCTCCCACACCATTAAATGTATATTGAAAGCCATCCAGAGTTGTGATATGAGGATCTCCATTGGTCCGAGCTGCAAATATTTATACAAAAACATTATGATTAGAGGAGATTGATTGATTGTATATCGTTTAACGTCCCTCTCTAATTTTTCACTCATATGGAAATGCCACCACTTGCCGTTGGAAAGCTGCAAATTTTGTCCTATACTCGTCACTTAGGTCCATTGAGCAGGAGGGGATCTTTTTTTGTCCCAGCACCTACTGCGACACGGGATCTCGGTTTATACGGTCTCATCCGAAGGACCTTTCTCCACGTTCCACGGTGGAACCGGCGACGTAAGGATCAACTCCTTCGCGACTCTAGAGCGGACGCTCTAACCAATGTCCCACGCAGGCGACATGATTAGAGGAGAGGAACATTGAAAATTGATCTACAGCTCAACTTAGTTAAATGTATGTGGATTGTTTAAACACGGGACGTCAGGAATTTCAGCAGTGGGATGAAAAAATTTAACAAATGCTATCTTTATAGACATTTTTATTTAAATGATGAATTACCTGGTCTCGGTGGGATATAGTTCTTGCACGAACTGAACTTTCTGTGTTTGAAGTAACTAGGACATAAATTTGAAACAATGGAGGATCCACTTCCTATAACTTGGTAGACATTTTGAGAATATCGACAACAGTGAAGAAATGGTAGAACGTCAAAATAGAAGTTTGTGATGTACGGCTGCACTCTATATCCACCAAGATAATGATATCTTTGAATGCTTCCTCCCTCCTTTACTCTAGAATCGATTAGATTATTTGCATTGTCGTAGCAGCACATATTATCGACTCCTTGTGGCCTATTTTGATGAACAATGAGGAATTTATATGTGTGTTTTTAATGATTATTTTTTGTGTTTCTGAAAAATATAAAACATTTGTTTAGACGATTATTAACTTTTCTTACCCTAAGTTAACTAAACGAATACAATGGGTAGCGTCTCTTCTGTGCAGGCAATTACCAGTACGGGAATGCGGTGATGTACGACTGAACATGTTGCAATCTGGATCGGGTTGAAATCTGACTATGTCCAGTAGAGCTTGGTCAAGAGTACAGGGACATGGCTGAACATCAATATTCGACAGTTGGGGTTGTTGTGTTTCACTTTTCAGCCAATCGTGACAGAAGCTGTATGCTTGATCCGGTGGAAGGGCCACGGGAAATATGTCAGACCAGATTCCTCTATCGGCCCTATACATAAATTGTAATCACTGGCAGTTGTCCTTACAATTCTTATAATTTATCTTTTTTATTTCTTTATTAAAATAATTATTTTTTTTTTAATTTATGGAATTTGTGTTTGTTTGCATTGAATCCAACACCATTTTAATATCATTGGATTCAATTATCTCTGTCTCTCTTCAAATATTTCTACAAAGCTTCAAATCAGTTTTACTCATCTTAAAATTAATACTTATATTAAAATGAATTGAAGATAAGTTCAATTCAATTAATATATGCATAGATTATATATATATATATATATATATATATATATATATATATATATATATATATATATATATATATATATATATATATATATATCTATATATATTAGTGTTGGCAACGAGTACCCGGTTAACCGGTTAACCGTCGATCGAAGCGAGTATCGGTTAGTAAAATTGCTATTCGGTTACTCGGATAAAATGCATCTTATATGGTAAATAACTAAAAGATAAAATGTTAATTTGTTTATATGCGTACAAATAAACATTTCTCTAATTTTCTTTACCGCTAGACTTAATGATTTATTGTTTCACTAATACAATTGATTGGTTTTCACACTTGATTGATAGCTTTGATTGTCATCAGGTTATACAAGATTTGAAGACCCGTGTTATAATATTAACCTCATTAAATAATTTAACAAGATGCCGCCAAAGACGTGTACATGTATAGCTTGGAAGTATTTTAAAAGAACAGTTGATTTCATACCTGTAAAATGTAATTAATGTGAATTGGAGTTATCATGACTTCAAATTTCTAAATTATTATTATCCTTGCGCGTGACATATATCAGGGGTTGAAAAGTAAAACTGATGAACATTGTAAAATAGCGTGAAACATTGAATATTTATTTTTCTTCTATTTACGAGGGTTGTTCAATAAATAATGTCCTGAACTGTATGACATACAATACAGATATCATATGACATTAAACTTGACTTTCTCTCATTATTGAATCTTTACTGAATTTATAACAGTTAATGTGACCACTTTTCATCACATAGTTTTATCGTGAGAAGCTGGGAAACAAGGGCTGTTCGAGACACTGCATTATAAATGAATGGTAAACAATCAATAAACTAGAGTGAAAATAAAGGCTACATTAAAGCTGCTGTAAAAATCCCAAAGAAATATTCACTGAAATATGTGTCATTTACAGCAACCAATGCCTGATTTATAGACAAATGAGCAGGTGGATTTCAATGATAAAAAAAAATATATAATGGGCATCAAAAATGGTACCCTCCTTGCAAACAAAAATTATAACAACTTATGTAATGTTTGCCAAATTTCAACAAATAATATTTGATGATGTATGAATGACTTTATGACACATAGCAAATTTGATAGACATCATATCGGGAGTAATTTACACTGTTTTTAAGAAACGTTTGACTGTAAAAAAAAAAGCTTGGTACTCAAAGGTCACTCTATATTTTGAAAAATTAGTGAAAACGACAGCGTGTACGAAAGTCTTAACAATTATTTTAAAATATCAGTAATTGTAGTTATCCACGTTTGTTTTATATTCAAACAGATATTGGAACATAGATCTATTGCTTAAGATCATCAAAACAAAATTTACCATAAGATGTACTTCATAAAAACGGCAAAGGTCTGACAAAAGCAAAGGTATGCAAGAGCACAAAGACAGATATCTATGCAATTTTCGTAAATGATAGTGGTATTGTTGTTCAAATTCGTATTCGGGGAGACAGTGTAATATCTGGAGGAATCTAGAAAGCAATTTATTTGCAAAAAAATCGAAAGGTTTATTAGAGGAATGACCCAGAATCAGGAATCCACTACATTGAATTTCTTCATGACAGCGTCCAAACCCGCATGCCCTGAAGAGTAAAGGGGTTTTCGGGATAAACAGAAAGTTAATGTTTTTTCACAATATTTTTAGATCTTTGACCTTCTGACTTGTTTCTATTTCCTAACTTGAAAAAAACACCTTTCAGAAGGAAAAAACAAGTCCAAGATATCATTGGATCTGCCATTTTCTAGTATACTAAGGGTCATGCCCAAAAACGAGTTCTAAAAACAATTAGAAGTTGGATAAAAAATGTTACGGACATGTGTTTGAATTAAAAGAGATTAATAAGTAAAATCATGAAGACTAAATCATTGAAAAGCGTTGTTTGCTTCTTTCTGAGCACCGAGGACATTATTTATTGAACAGCCCTCGTAATTAATTTTTTGATTATAATTATATTTAAAATTCAAGATATTTCGTGCGTGTTCTTTTTAAGTTTATAAATAAAGTTAATTCACAATACCTTTGTGTTTTATGGGAACCGATAAGTAAAAGATGAGATAAATGATACATTTGAATAAATCATCCGAGTAACCGGGTACTCGATCGGAAGATTGAGCGAGTAACCGGTTACAAAAAGTCGTCCGATTTGCCAACACTAATATATATATATATATATATATATAGATAAATCCAAGAAAAATCACAGTGGTCGGTGATAAATATGAAAATTATTTTAAATAAATAAAAACACAGAGAACGAGTAAAACATAAGCGCTTTCATTTCTTCTTCATGATGTTTTACAATACTCATGGTAACGTCTATTATGACGTCATAATAACGTAACGTTATCAAGTCTTTGATTGACGTCATATTTTCCCGTACTTTCACAGAACAATGCATTAACAAAGCATACAATAACAAAGCAATAAATGTGACTCAGTAACACAATTTACATGTAAAGAAACAATTTTTTTACATTAAACTATTTAATTTAGGTTTGAAAGTCCTTATAAAATGTCTTTCTTTATCGCGTCTTTCGACTGTGTTAGAGTTGTGCAACTTATAAAATGGAAAAACAGTAAAAGTTCTATTTCCGCACACGTCTAAGTGTTCACTAACTTTGAGTTTGCGATATTGCGGTACGTTTATTTGTTGTTTGTGTACTCTGATCCTTTCCCGTAAGGTACTTCCCGTCTCGCCGATATATAGTTCCCCGCAACCGGAACACGTAATAACGTATATAACATTTCTAGTTTGACATGACATGTTATTATTAACGGTAAACTGTTTCCCGTTAAAGTTGAAACTTTGTCCTTGTCGTATGTATGGGCAGGTACCACAACGCGGATCCTGGCACTTGGTCACATGAAATTCTGTCGTTTCTTTAAAAGAGGACTTTGTGAGAATTCGTCTGAGGTTCTTCGGCTGCCTCCTACTGTTTATGAATTTCCGATTTTTAAATATTTCAGACACAGTTTTGTCGGTTTTCAAAACGTCGTTGAGTTGGTAAACAATCGGTGCAACGTTTGTATTCTGGGGATTATGGGTCGTTACTAAAGGCAAGATCCTGGAATCCGTCTTGTTTTGTTGCACAGGGTTGAGGAGGTCCTCTCTGTTTAAATCCATGGCTTTTTTAATAGCATTATCAATAATTTTTTCGGGATAACTTTGTTTCCGTAGATACTCTCTCAGTTCTTGTAGTCTTTGTATTTTGGTTGTTTCCTTATTTACGATGGTGCATATTCTCCTTGCTAAATTATTGTGTGCGGAAATGGAACTTTTACTGTTTTTCCATTTTATAAGTTGCACAACTCTAACACAGTCGAAAGACGCGATAAAGAAAGACATTTTATAAGGACTTTCAAACCTAAATTAAATAGTTTAATGTAAAAAAATTGTTTCTTTACATGTAAATTGTGTTACTGAGTCACATTTATTGCTTTGTTATTGTATGCTTTGTTAATGCATTGTTCTGTGAAAGTACGGGAAAATATGACGTCAATCAAAGACTTGATAACGTTACGTTATTATGACGTCATAATAGACGTTACCATGAGTATTGTAAAACATCATGAAGAAGAAATGAAAGCGCTTATGTTTTACTCGTTCTCTGTGTTTTTATTTATTTAAAATAATTTTCATATATATATATATATATATATATATATATATATATATATATATATATATATATATATATATATATATATATATATATATATATAAAATCTTTTAATTCATTAACAGATAGTAATAATCAATTGAAAGCTAGGTACAAATGTTAAAAATTAATTCTAAGTTTGGTGCAAGTGAATTGAATCTGGGTATAATTAATTTATACATATCTTCAAATCCTTTTTGAAAGATATGAATTGTTTCTATCTTCAAATCAATTGTATCTAGATTAAATCAATTATAAAATTCTCTGGCAAAAAATTATAATTTAACTAAGCCTATCTGTAATGAATGTATCAGTCTTGGAATTGTTTGTTTGGTTGACATCCCTCCTACATTTTTGTCATTAATATTGATACATCACCACTTTCCGGTAAAGGGCTGCTTTAGATTTGCCCTCGGAACTAAGGGTCAAAGAGTAATGAGGAACCTTTTTTGTGACAAAAATGTCGAGTTTTTTTACGATCTTATCCAAAAGACCGAAACCAAGTCCCGCAATGGGATTTGTGATGTAAATCAAGACTCTTTATTTACAACGTAGATTCAATTTTTAAAGATACGTGTTTCCTGGTACTAATACCTATTTACACCTATCTTTCATTCTACTAGACCTATCTGTAATTCACTTGGATCTTTCCTCAATTCATTTGAATGGATTTAGGTGGTACTTAGTATTTAAAAAAAAGTTCATTTTTTTACAGATGGGATAAGATATTTGAATACATGTATATGTTATTAATTCGACATTCCATTTACTTACTGTTCAGGTCTTTTGGTAGCAGATGTTACCCTAATAGTCAAAGCAAAACCACTGTTTGGCACAGAAATAACTGCTGATCCTGAGGTTCGCTGTACACCTCGAAGGACAACCTGACTCTTCCATGACAACTGACGATCGCTTTCCTCCTAACAATTATTTTACGACACTTACATGTATGAATATTAGATTTACATAAGTTCATGAAATGTATTTATTATTTGTCAAACGATAAAAATTTAATTTTAAGATTCCCCGTACTTTTAAAGAGAAAAGATGTATATCGACAGTTTCATTATCCTGAAGTTCTGAAGCATCTGGCTCCCATGATATTGATTTCTGTCCAGCAAACCATTCATCAGAGTTATGCCTATACACTCGATGCTTGCTATCCGCAGGGTTTACTAAAAGTTCAGTTTTGTTTCATTATTTTAAAATATATAATTCATTTTTAGGGAATAAAGAATACGCCTGAAAACAGGTTGGTTTTGTTTGTTTTGTTCATCAACTTTTAAACATAATATATTAAAAAGATAATTTAATTTTTCTAAGAATTGTAGTCCATACACAATACACATAAAATGATTGCGTATTCAATGTTTGTGGTGCTTAAATCAACTCTTAATTGCACTGTACACTGCTGTATAAGAACAAAAAAGAAGACCAGCAAGAGAAATGAAAACATGAAGAAATAACCTCATGCATCCTACTTACAGATTGTATAGAGACCTCGAAATGTTTTCCTCACGCCGTTGCTCTCTATTCCTATCAGTATAATTGCATCCCCGGTGTGTCGGAATATTGGAGTTATGCATACTATGCTAAATTCTGATTTTCGATCACAGATGTACGTTTCTGGTGACCCAAGATATGTAGCTGTTATGGTTGCAGTTGGCTCAATGCATGGGCCACTGAGAACAAGATACTGCCCTCCTAAAAGTGGACCGTATCGAGGGGTTATAGTCAGGTCACCTACAATATCAAAACGTTGTAAAAATTTAAAAGTATAATGCTGAATATCCAAAATTCGTAATCAAACTATTCGAAATTCTCATTTGATTTTTTGCAATACTTACTATTATGACGCGCGTCTCAAGGTGTTTAGACACGTTTGATTGACACATCCCTACACTTTTGTAAATTTTAATTTTATCGTTATTACTTAAGAAAAGTAGCAATTTTGATGCATATTAATGAAAATATAAAAAGATTAAAAACTATAAGCCAGAAAATTCAAAGTAGAAATGCGCCTGCTCCGTTATCGGGAGGTCGTGAGTTCGTATCTCGGCCGCGACTGACGTAGTCGATAAAATGGGTATCAATTGTTCCTTCGCCATGCGCTCGGCACTTTGAAGTGAAAGTTGCGGGTCCTTCGGATGATACCTTAAAAACCGAGACCCCGTGTCAGCGGCAGGCGTTGGCACGATAAAGATCCCTCACTGCTCAATAGCACTGAGTGCCGAGTAAAGGTCAAAATTTGAAGCCCTTCACCGTCTCCATATGAGTGAAAAATTCTCGAGAGGGACGTTAAACAATATACAATCAATCAATCAATCCATCAAAGTAGAAATGAAAGAAAACAAACCAAATCCCTAGTATTGTCAGCCTGTGGTCAATGTTGTGTACAGATTTAAGTAACGGAGAAATTCCAAAAACTGTCCATTCTGTGAGAGAAAGAAATGTTCGAGGCCCGAAGGGCCGAAAATAGTTTTTTCTGTCACAGAATGTACAGTTTGAGGACTTTATTCTTCTTAAAACATAATTTCTATTGTTAACTTTATAAACTGTCCCAGGTGATGGTTAAGTATTTGCTATAACTAAATTACACACTTGATTGTTCAGAGAGTGAAGGATGAAAATAATTATTGTTTAACTTAATGGACAGTGCCAGATAATTTTAGATTTAAATGAAAGCTCACTGGATTTCTGACTACTAGCACTTCTCATGTAAAGCTTTATGAGTGAAGAAGTCCACATCTGACGAAGAAACACATTTCTTCAAAATATAGACCACAGGTGGAAAATATTCTACAGAAGGCTGGCACAAGCAGAAGCTTGTAGGTATGCAGATGATTCTGAAATTAGTGTTCGGGTTTTGACAAGAAAATATCGCAAATCTTTGTGAACAATCAGTATTTAAGGGATAATATACGAAACATTCTTTGAGAACAACAGCGGTGACCCGCTTGTATGAAGCTGATATGGAAGACCAGCTAACAACAGAAAAAACGGGCCACAAATCTATTACAGTTTGATCCTACAATTGAACAAACAATCAAATGAATAACAACAGAAAGTAAATGGAAAATTCATGGAAATATGGGGGATTCAGTTGGTGGCAAGTTTATGAAAAAGGTGAAAATGCGTGATCCCTGTCCCAAAAATGATTCCGCCGGCCTGTAGTGCATCTAGTGAAATTATCATTTCATCAGGAAATATGCCTTTCTCTTTTAAAATTGCTGTTGGATATACCGTACAAGTAGAATTTTAGCGAGTATTTAATATTGGCATTATTAGTGAAGGTTCCGACATCGCTAAAATTGAATATCGGTAAAAAAAAAATTGCGTATCATTTGTAATAGCTTCTTTAGTTAGCACTTTTAAAAAATCGCCAAAATAATAAAATACCAGATTTAAGATAGAAATCGCCAAATTTGCTTCTCGCTAAAATTTCCGCTTACACAGTTCTTCAAACATTCATGGAATGGATCTACCTTGTCCAGCATTCATTTACAAATGTTGTGAAGAAGATGAGAAGTTTTTTTTTAAAATTATTAATATGCATCAGGATATAACATTATATAAATATTGCATGTAGTTGAGTGTAACATTGAAGAAAACCATTGTCAACCGAGGCGCAGCCGAGGTTGACAAGGGTTTTCGAGGGGTGAAAATTTTCAATGTTACACTCAACTACATGCAATATTTATTATATTATACTGAATGTTTTATACAAATACATATTACAGCGAACCGTGCGCGCATAAATTCCGCGCAGTCGCTATTTTTTGGAATACCACCCGTCGTCAAGCAATGTTGACTGTTGCTACGCAGGGGGGCGTGGCTTCATTATTCAGCGGGTAGTAGTGTTTTTATCAAATGTTTCTCGACGAATCAGATTCAAGAAATTTACATGAAAGTATAATATATGTCTTTTTTGCATTAGATTTGTCGTTTCTAAAGATGATATACTGTTGAACTTTTCATACAAATGTTTGATATTTGCAAATGCATAATTGTGTATTAAATAAAAAAATTATTTGCCTGTTTTCTTTACTAATGAAGTTCAGAAAATATTATGCATTTTATGTATTGTTTTTGACGTTTAAAACCTGTACATTAAGTTACCTGTAACTGCACATTAAGTTGACAAAAAGCTGTAGATTAAGTTAAGAATTGAGAGTTTTGTCAACTTAATCTACGGTTGCAGGTGACAATGTACGGGTTTTAAATATCCAAATCTATTATGGTATAAATAATGAACTAAAACACAAAGGATTACATAGCAAAAATGTTTTAACAATTGAAAGGACCCCTGAAACAATTTTTGTAAACAGGGCACGAGCTCTGTTGTTGTTATTGCTTAGGTTTCACTGGATGTGTTCATTTGTTAAACTCTGCATAAACCATGCACTGTGTACGGACTGACAAACTGATATGTTGGTTTTGTTTTCGCACATTCTCTACTCTGAATTTTCGGGATTGTAGTTTCAATATTTTTCATTGATGCACAATAAAATTTGCTACTTGTTTTAAGTATGAAGGATAAAGATACAATAAAGCGCATTGATGTGGTAAAATTTTCTGTTTTAGATGAAACGTTCTGAGTCATGTTTTGAACGCCAATAATAACAAAATGACACGCCCATTTCTTCAGAAACAAAAAGAAATATTTGTCGTTATGTTGAAGGACCCCACACTCTTCGTGACACGCAACACGAGTTACACTGAAATGGAGTTTTTTTTTATAGTTATAAGAGAGAGGGTTAGAGAGTTCCCGCTTCTGTAAAACACGTATTGAAACTAATTTGTACATAATTATGAATTTATCATGTATATTGGAGTTACCATAACACATGTATTGGTCGAACACGTGCTTACTCGGTGTTTATGTAGACCGTCAATTTGATTGGCTATTATATTTATGGAATACCTGTTTTCAGGTATTGCAATGAACCATTTGTCCGATTTTTTTTCTTTCTAAAGAAATGGGTATGTCATCATATGAAAATAAACTTCTAAAGATAGCACAAAACGTTCCATCCAAACAGAAAATTTTACCACTTCAATGCGCTTCATTGTAAAAATTGTGAGGGTGTAGGATATGTCAATCAAACGCGTCTAGAAATTCGAAGTTTCAATAACTTTCAGAAAAATAAGATTTTTATTATATTTTCGTATGAAATGCCATAGCAACATAAAAGCTATGAAATAATACCGAAAATTTGAGAAAATACTAACATCAAATTTGTGTCTAAGCACCTTTAAATGGTAAAATTTCCGCTTGAGTGGAACGTTTTGTGCTATCTTTAGAAGTTGATTGTCATATAATTATACTGACATACTCATTTCTTTAGAAAGAAAAAAAATGGACAAATGGTTCACTCGAAAACAAACCTGTTAAACAGGTATTCCATAAATAATTTAAATATGATACTATAGCCAACCAAATTGACGGTCTACATAAACACTGAGTAAGCAGGTGTTCGTGACGGTAGGTTCAAAAGAAATGGTCCCTATTCATTAACTTACCTCTTGTATTACACCCCCCGTCTGTTATATCACTTGCATCTATTCTGAAGGCAAATTTTCCTGGTATGTCAACATTGGACATTTCGTCAACATTAATAATGTCCGAAGTACGCGATGCATTCACTGTGAAAAACACAATACCATCTCCCGCATTAAACCCAACCTTTGAAGAAAAGAAATGCTTTCAAGTATCCCAAAATCATTCTATTTAATGTGCAGAGAAATTTAATTGTCACCTGTAGAGTTTATTTCTTAAGCAGTTTCGATACGCAAAAAAAACTTTATATATAGACAATTTCTGAAACGAGGCAAGCTGCTGACAAATAAGTTGAAGAAACAAGGACTTCAACAGTTTACAGTCAACGCACACAATCTATTGTCAATATTATGATTAAGTCAGGAAATGCAATCTTTCATGCACATCTTTTGGTTTTTTTTATCATATAAAGTTTAAAAATTTTGCCAAAAAATATATATCCATTAACATATAATAACTGGATATTCCATATATATTTGGAGTTTTTATATGAAATGTCTAAACAACTAAGAAACTGATTACATAATTGCGTATAGAGCATTGAATCAGTATTAATAATAATGACAAACCTGTGCAGGAGTTCCTCCCAGCCCAATAGCATTGCCACCACTTGCTGTACCCGTCGTCCATACAATTTGCTCGTAGTTGTATAAAGTAAATGAATGCTGTCCATTGGTTATCAAAACTGCTTGAAATGTATTCTTCTGAAATGTTTTAACTCTAAGATTTGTGGATAATTTGTTAATATATAGATATCTATGTAGAGAGTGAGGAATTTAATAGATTTTATGTCATTTCTTTTTATAGGACGATAAGTTGCATTTAACAAAATCTTATTCTAATTTGTATGCACTGTCACATGAAAACTTCATTTTAGGTCAAAAATATTTCAATGCAATCATTGTATTTTGCTTCAATACAAGAGACTTTGTAGCGATTGAATAAGTTTTATCATTTTTTTCTGTTTCCATCCGTTCAAACGATAATACGTGCCTGAAACGAGATAAAAAGTGTATTCGAAAAAATCAATGCATATGAACCTTTGAACAAGGACTGCTACAGCCGTAGTATGCGACTTGATCCCAAGTGGCAATAAATATCCACGAAGCCCTGAATCTGAAGAATCTGGGGAAATAAGTTCGCACCTCTTCGCTGGCTCTGTCCATTAGGGCAGAATTTACAGTCTCCCTGTACCAAACTGTTCCCCCATTTCTCGTGTCCACATCCGCCCAGAATGGTGCTATCATCCTCGCGTCATTAGGTATTGGGAAGGGGTCAGGTGTGAATGTGCTGACAGTTTGGAGAAATGAAACTACTCCGTTTGTGTTAACCTGCATATTATATGCATATATAATTTATTATATTTAATAAATATTATTTTGTTCCCCAAACGAAGTTGGGGAACATATTGTTTTTACTCTGTTTCTTCTTCTTCTTCTTATTATTATTATTATTTTTCTTCTCGGGAAAATTTTGTCCGCGAATGATCTTGTAAAGTACACATCCGATTAAGGGGAAACCTTTTTAGGGTAAGTAGGCATGTTATGTAGATTTGCGGAATCAAGGTCATTTTGCGCGCACGTGCAAAACTTGAAATGACCAATATATAATGGATATAACCGTAACTTTTCTATTTTTAGACGAAATGTTTTGAAACTCATAATGTAAGGATATGTGAGTAGTATGCACAAGATGACATGGTCAAAATAGCAAGATCGCACGTGCAAGCACGTGCGCTTCGCTCTGATTGGCTGAAACTAAAGTCTCAATATCTTTCTTGTTTTTTGATAAAATCATTTGAAATTTTGAACATAGTCATACATTATGGAGATCTACAGCCCGTAATAAAAGAAATATCATGAAAGCATGTGCATGCACGTGTGCTTGCAAGAGCTCGCACGTGCAACACGAGAAATGTCCAATATAATTGATACAGACGTAACTATTTAAATTATTGATGATATGCTTTAAAACTCATATTAGAAGTATATATTAGAAGCATAGACAAGATGACATGGTCAAAAAAGCAAGATCTCACGTGCATGCACGTGCGCTTTGCTCTGATTGGCTGAAACTAAAATCTCAATATCTTTCTCGTTTTTTGACGAAATCCTTTGAAATTTTAAATATAGGCATGCATTAGGATATCCTACAATAAGATGTAAAGCAATTATTTTGAAAACGCGTGCATGCACGTGCGCTGCAATCTGATTGGTTTATGCTTTAAGTAGCTATAACTCCCTTGATTTTCAACCAAACAGGATGGGATTTGGAACATGGATAGATATAATGGACTTCTACAAGAAGACATGGTCACCATGCACATGCATACACGTGCATGTACGTGCGCTGCAATCTGATTGGCTGAAATTTTGAACAGCTATAACTCCCTTGGTTTTCAACCAAACGGGGTGGGATTTAGAACATAGATAGATGTAATGGACTTCTACAAGAAAGTATGGTCGCCATGCTCATGTGAGCACGTGCGTGCACGTGAAATGAGTAAAATAAAAAATACACTTGAATTAGCGTATTTTTTAATACGTTTGGATTAAATACTTTGATATTTAGTATATTAAAATCTATAGATTGTAAAGACAAGATTGTATGGTCATTACGCACATGCATTCACATGCGCACGCGTGCAATGCTAAAATTTGAATGAAATTGGTACACTTCTGGGTAAACGTTGTTAAAGTCTCAAATGTGTAGAGTTTGTCTTATTTAATGAAGCTTATAGGGAATATGGCACCAAAAGGGAGTTGGGGAGCGTTTGGGGAACATCTGTAACGGTCCCCGTTACAATTAGCACTAGTTTATTTATTTTGTTTTGTTTTTGGTTGTTCTTTTTAGTTTAATTATCTTATACATCAATAAGTTGCTTCTCTGTTTAAAAAAAACTTAGGGGCAAAGTAGTGAAGACAGAATTGATGAAACTTAACACGATACGCCTAGAAACTAAAAAGTTGCATCAAATTTACCCTCATTTAGGAAGTTAAGATTTTTATTATATGTTAAATGATACATTTATTTACAGTAACCTGTGTGTGAAACTGATAACAGACATTGGAGATGATAGTTTACCTAGAAGTTTTAAATTAAATTACCAGAGCCATACTCTAAATCTAAAAGGTCATATTTACAATTTAGAATAACATTTTATATACATGTTTGTATTCTATTTGCATTTTTCTTTTACTTTATTTTTGAATTTATTGTTGTTGAACTTTTTTTTTTGCTTGTATTTAAATAATTTTTAATACAAAAACCTTTTTAGCATTAAAAATTGAGGAAGTCACTAGAGAGGGTCTCGAAGGAATTAATTTAACAAAACAGCAGCCATTTTCAATCGATTAGTTTTGTCAATTCTCCAGAACTATTGGTAGATAAAAATATTTGCATTGCAACGAAATTCATTCAATGGAAATTACCTAATAGTTTCTAAATGCATATTTTTAACTCTGAGTCATGTACAATTTGTTAATAGTAATTGTTTTTTTAAACTGTGTGCGGTATAAATAACATTACATACGTTAGGCTTATATCAAGTTTGAAATAGTTATTGATTTTGCGTAATGGTGTATTTGATAACTTTTATCAAGAATATGATCTTGTGAAAGAATATGATTTATCATTAAGTCAAATGCTGATTTACACACTGAATTGTCCGTTATTTCTCGATTACGACAAGGAGCAAACGGCGGATGTGACTGGTCTGCAGGGGATGCTTATCTAATATCCAAGCTCCGATGTTTTTGGGGTCCGTGTTTGCTCTGCTTCAATTTTGTATTGTTTAGAGTACTTTTGAGCTTGAATACTCTTCGTTATCTCCATATATTGCATTTATAGTCCGATACTAATTTTTAAGAATATTTTTAATTAAACAATGTAAACGGATACGAGAAACAATACATGTTTTATTTTGGCTTAATTTATTTCATTAAAATGAAAAATTATCTATATTTCCATTTCATAAAATTAAACGTATACTTATTATTTTTAAAAATGTACTTACAATGAGTTTTGGGTGCTGGTGATTAAAGAATGGGAAAAGTGTTGATATAGTTATATCACCAGTACTTCCATCATCATTTTTGTCCATGGCTGTGTCCCCATGTTGGTTTCCAAATGGGAAAAAGTCATGTAAGGTTAAAGAAAATGTCTGATGAATAACAAAAACAAAATACGTAATTAAAAAATCCGTCTGCATAGTTTTAAGAGACTTCAATCCAAGACAAATAGGGCGAAAAGCGATATGCGATGCGTTTTAATACCTTAAATTGAGTAATTTAAACGTTTGAAACACCCATGAATGTATAGTTGCATAACATATATATAGTCCATAGTTACTTCCTGGTACACGACGCCCGTTAGAATTCCTCGCCCCTTTTATTCTTTTGTTTATTCTTAGCATACAGGGCATAAAATTTGTAAGAATGTTCTACAGTGTCCACAGAAAAAATGCATAATAGAATATATATATAAATTAGAATCAGATCCTCGCTCAGTCACAAACAATCATATCTTTTACGACATTATTTTGTTGAAGTAAATGCTATATATATTAAATTTAAAAAAATCAAATCTGATTTATTTTGATACCTTGTATGGTAGGTGTATAATTTAGGTGTTAAGTATGTAATGTATCAAATCCCAAACTTTTTAAAGATATGGATATATTACAGGATTTTTTTATTTTCATTGAAAAATTATCTTACTTCTTATTGTCAGGAATACAAGGTATAATCAAATGTGTTTAATTTACGTAGTATCAATTTAATCTACGTTAATTTTTATCCAGAATTGTATATATTCAGCTGCTAACTACAATGGCTACAAAAATAATCAGATAAGGTTAATCAACAGATCTAGAATATTGAAGATAAAGTTATTTTCTTTCTGTAGTCAATATTGTTTTAATTCAACAAGTACAACCATTGATATTGACATGTACAACTTACGTCACCAGGTTAGGGGGTACAGAATAAAGAATTTTTATAATACATGAATAGATACATAAATAGGTCACGCAGTTTTATTTGAGTTTAGCTGCCACAATCCTGTCTCCTTGAAGAGATGAAACTGAAATACAACACAGGGTTTTCTACCTGAAATAAAAGTCGAGTGATATCAAGAAAAAGAAACCCTGAATAACATAACAACTCATGTACAATACCTACTGAGTTGAGGATTATTTCATTTTAATAATTGAAATCACAAGAGTTTACCAAAATCAACAGCTTTAAAAATATTTATCTTTTTTACCAGTATATTTGAATATTTTAATTGAAGAAGACCTTAATGGTAATCTAACAACCAAGCTCTATGATAAACGTGATGGACTTTAACTTTTCTTTCGTCAACTTCCCTTACTTATGCAGCAATATACCTTCATCACCTGCACACGGAGTTTATATATCTCAGTTGATTCGATGCGAAAGAGTTTGTCTACGCATGAACAAATTCTACAACGAGGTAAATTATTGACAAACAAGTTGATGAAACATGAATATAAGCAGTCTCCTTTAAAGTCATCATTTGGTAAGCTTTTTGGTCTATACAATGACCTTGTCAGCAAAAACAATTAATCATTGAGTCAAATGCTGACTGACTTTTTATACTATTGTTAGCCCATTAATTACACACTGAATTGACAACGTTATTTCCCGATCATGACAAGGAGCACACAATGGGCGTGACAGGTCTGCAGGGTTTGCTCGCTCCTCCACGGCATCTGATACCACCTCTGATGTTTTCGAGGTCCGTGTTTGCTCTCCTCCTGTTTTGTATTGTTTTATGAACTTTTGATACAGTGGAGCCTCATTTATCCGGACGCTTCGGTTCCTAGTCAATTTGTCCGGATATGAGAAGCATCCTGATAACTGAATTACCAGTTAAACAAGACAAAATAACATTTAAAAATTCCCTTCTGATGTAAAATCGTCCGTATACTGAAGCATCCGGATATCTGAAGGTTCACTGTATTGAATACTGTTCGTTATCTCCATATGTTTCATTGTTAAATGACAGTCATGGAGTTAGTAAATTGGAGTAGATGATATGTTTTGCTGTAAAATCAATACTAAGACTAAAAATGGTCGAATACATTAGGAAGATCGTTAAAAATTTGATTCAATTTGCATACGTTACTTCTCGAAGAAATCAGTTCATCAAACACATCAAACTTTAATTTATCGTGGGGAATGGTTTCAAATTTTCCAAAAGCTTCTTTGAATTTTTAAGTATCCCCATCTGATTTACACCACTTCTCGAATATATTGCTGCACAGTACTCTTGAAGTTTCTCCTTTTCTGCTGTTGATATTTAAGTGAGGAGTAAAGAAAAAGACTTGATTGAATATTTACTGGGACCCGCTGTAGTATGTATCAAATGATGACTCTTACAAACAAAGACAAAGTTGGTAACAGTTTTGTCAGCAGGGACCAGTACACACTGGTCATGTAATTTATATTATTCTTGCTTCACTTCTGCCAAGTCGAAGACAGAAGGATAGTTTTCATTTTGCCCCTGAAAGTGAAATTTCAACACTCTTTTGATACATGTAGTTCATTCTGACAAAGTGACATGGTCTTCCTTTTCATGTTTTGCTCATCGTCAAGGTTAATCTTCTACCGAATTCATAATATTTATTATAAAACATGTACAACGCCAGTTGAAAGATCGGGGTTTCCTAATCTTTGGCCCTCTTAATAATAAGTAATTAATCGTCCTCATTATCAACTATCTTTACGTATATGTAACCAGTAATGACGTGTCCAGCAGTGTTATAGTTGTATGGTTAAGATTTCATCAAAGGTCAACATATCCTACAATTTTTTACAATAGCTCTAAAACTATGTGAGGTATGAAGTCGAAACTCTTATAGTTTATAAATATATCATTGATTAAGAGATAGAAAGTATCATTTGATAACAAATGCTTAGAAAAAAATATTTATCGAGGAATTATTTTTAGAAAATGCATATATATTTTTAAAAATACACCTAATTAATTCCATGCAATACTACAGAAACAATACATGTTTATCAATGAACGGCAAGTTGGACTTTAATGGCCTCTGGAAAGTTGTTTTCCCTGTTTATGTTTTCCAAATGTTAAGATTTGAAACCGAAAGTACATTGCAAAAGGTGGATTTGGGTCTTGTCTTTATACATGTCAAGCTTTCAATAGCAGACTTTCACAAACCGTTTACATTCAACTTCATTAGTAAACATAAATTATTTCTGCAATGATAGTTTTCACAAAAAGGACGGGATTAAGAAGGTGCATTTTCTTTAAACATGTAAATTTTTTAATGCAATATTTTTCTCAAAAAAATATCCTTTTTAACATACATATAGTTGTTTCAAGTGTTACTTTCTATCTGTTTATCAATTATATATTTGTTATATACCTCACATAGCTTTATAAAACTTTATGAATTTTTGGACGTGTTGACCTTTGACGAAACCCTAAGAAAACAATAAATATGCTGGAAGATTAAGTTTCAGATGCTTTATATCTATCAAATTTTTATAATAACAAATGAAAGACATCTCGGCTCAAGAAAAAAAAAATGATATAAATATGAGTTAATTTTTTTTTTTTTTTTTTTTATGGTATATATTTAGTCATGTAATTTATTTTAATGTATGATCTTTTAAGAAATCGTCAGCCGAATATTTTTGTTTCTAATAATACCCTACATGTATCATTATTGTGAAACATTTTTTCTTCTCATTTTTATCATATGCAAGTCTTTTTGAATTAATTTTTGAAACAATTAAACAAATTCATAAAATATAAATTGACAATTATTTCAGTCATTTAACTTTTTTAAACAAGTTACTCGAAAACATTTCAACCT